TACTGTGAAAGCTTGATGTTCGAACGTTTCAAAACATGGCTTTCGCAAAAGGTGGAATGGACAGGCGCCGAAGGTTTAGTAACTCATGGATGAGAGAACCGGTAAGATGGCAACGCTGGTTCAAGAGCATTTTGAGGAACTGGATATTGATAAACATTTAAAGGGAAATGTTTGAGTAAAATTTCTAGGTTAAAAGACAACACTGGTTGCCCTCATGTGTATGGGCAAATGATTTTCTACAAGAGTGCCAAGATCACTGAATGAGGAAAAGACAGTGTTTTCAACAGAAGGTGCTGGGAAGATGAAGGTGCTGGGTACCTGCAATAGAATGAAGTTGGGCTCTACCTTAGACCATATAAAAAATTAACTCAAAGTGGATCGAAGACCTAAAGGTAAGAGCTACAACTATAAAACCCTTAGAAGAAAACAAAGAAACATCTTTGTACATAGGCTTTGGCAATGATTTCTTACAGATGACACCAAAAACACAATAAATACATTGGGCTACATCAAAATTTAAAACTTTTATCACAGGACACTATCAACAGAGTGAAAAGACAGCCCACGGAATGGAAGAAAACCTCTGCAAATCCTGTATCTGGTAAAGGGTTCAAGTTCAGAATATATAACAAGCTCCTACACATCAACCACAAAAATGTCGAACAAGCTGATTAAAAAAATGGGCAAAGAACTTGAATATACATTTCTCCAAAGAAGATATATAAATGGCCAGTAAGTGTATGAGAAGATGCTCAACCTCACTAGTCTTAGAGAAATGCAGATGAAAACCACAATGAGCTGCCACCTCACCCCCGTTATGATCAATACGGTAAAAAATAATGAGTGTTAGAGAGGATATGGAGAAATTGGAACCCTTGTGCACTATTGTGGGGATGTGAAGCGGTTAGGCCGCTGTGGAAGACAGTATGGTGACTCCTCAAAAAATGAAACAGAATTATATAACCCAGCAACTCCACCTGTGGGTATGTCTCCAAAAGAACGGAAATTAGTGTCTGAAGAGAGATTTGTGCACCTATATGTATGGCGACATTGTTCACAATAGCCAGAAGGTGGAAGCAACTCAAGTGTCCATCAACAGATGAATGGATAAGCCAAAGGTGGTGCATGCACACATCAGAATATTATTCAGCCTCAAAAAGGAGAGAAATTCGGACACATGCTACATCATGGGTGAACTGTAAGGACCTTATGCTCTGTGAAATGAACCAGCCACAAAGACACATGCTGTGTGATTCCGTTTACACGCGGTACCTAGAGTAGTCGGGCTCTCAGAGACGGGAAGTGGAATGGCGGTGGCCAGGGCTGGGGGCAGGAGGGAACGGGTTTGTGGTTGTGAGGACAGGGATTGTCTGGCGGAGAGGAAAAGAGTTCTGAAGATGGATGTGGTGACGGTTGCACAACAACGTGAGTGTGCTTAACACCCCTGAACTGGACACTTAGAAATGGTTAAGGTAGTAAAATGTGATGTGTATTTTACCACAATTAAAAAATAAAACAAAACTGGTTAATGTCCTACAGGGCAATTAGCTAATCAGTCTTTGGTGTTACCTTGTCTGTTGGATTTAAATTGTTATGTCTTCGCTGGGCTTGATCTCCATGTCACTCGGTAACTTCGCGGAGTCTGAGCCCTGAATGAATGGTAAGCAGCCAAGGCACCGAGAACACTCCCCTGGGTGCGAGTGGTCCTTGGGTGGGCTTGGGAACAATGGCCGGCTGACGTCAAAGCCCTCGCTGGCCTGATTTCCAGGATTGGGCTGGTTAGTATTCTTTCTTAACATCACAGTCATTTAGGTCCTTGTTTTTCCAATTGTTCCCTTCTGGGCAGGGGCCGTCTCGCTGGTCTTTGCCGCCTCTCTTTGTCTGGTTTGTTGAATGGAACGGACAGGAAGGGCGAGGCCGTAGGGCCAGTGAGGAGCAGCGGGCCAGGCTTCCCATGGCGCCTGTGACCACGACCAGTCCTGGGATTTCCCGACGTTCTCACCCGTCAGACGGGGACCTTGCCCCCGGGTCCTGGGCTCTGTGCTGGGCACTGGGGGTGCTGTCTAATCGGGTTTCCCTCCGGCTCCAAATGCTTGGCTTCCGGTTTGGTCTAAGCAGCCACACAAGGGAGGAGTTACTCAGACTCAGTGATGCAGACACCTGGCGAAGAAATGCAAGAGCCTCCTCCAGGCCCATCACAGACAGAAGCGGTGTCCCGCTGGCTGTTCTTGGAAGAGCCACTCTCGGTGCCATGTGACCTCTGTGGCCCGGCTGGGGGCTGAGGACGGACTGTTTGTAGCTTTACTAGAGAGGGAACAGCTGTTGTCCGCTGGGGGCGGGAGCATCTCCTCCCGGGACCGGGACCGGGTGGGAGGGGGGGTCGGCCGGCGCCCGGAGGGAAAGCTCACAGACGCCAAGTCTGCCCTGGAGAAAGGAGCATTTAATGTCTTATTACGCATTCACGAGGCTCTTGTTGCTGCTTTCAATTAACTTCTTGACCGCCCTGCTCCTCCTCTCGTGTTCCTGAGGACGGAGGCTCCGGGAGTCCCAGCGGGAAGGTGGCAGATGCTCCCCGCCGGGGGCTCTGGCTGGGATTAGCTCAGCGCTCTGGAGCCAGAGTTACACGGCAGGACGGAGCCAGGGTGGCCCTTTTGCAGGCGCTGCATGTTGCCCCTATTTTCCCCACGGGGTGCAGTGTCCCCCAAAGCCTTTGGAGCCACCCATGCTCAGGCCCATCCCTGCGTCCCTCTGTGTCCCTGGCCTGTGGGTCCCCACCTTGCAGGCGAACCCACCTCCCCGCCCCCTCCCAGGTCAGTCCCGGCCACCGGTGGGGCTGCATCTCGCTGACTGGAGTCCCAGAGGTGCCGGGTGCCCCCACTCCCTGCGCCTGCGGGGGAGGCGCTTCTGGGCACTTTGTCGGCGAGTGTGGGCGCCTCCCAGCTGTGCCATCTCATGTCCCCTCTACAGCCTCAGTTTCAGCAGAAGAAACCGAAAACCTCTTCCTCGCACCGCAACCATCTGCTGCTGGCTGCTAAGCAGCTTTGCTCTGAAAACGCTCCAGCCACCATGCAAGTAAGGACCTGGCTTCTGTCTACGCATGTCCTGGCGATTGAGGGGGAGGAGACAGATGCCTGGGGAAGGGAAGTAACTTGTCCAAGGGCACCAGCCAAAGGAGAGAAGGAGAATCTAGCTGGGCACAGGCCTAAATGATCCCCAGACTCAAGTTCTTTTCTCATTTTTCCTTGTCCACCCTCTTTATAATTATTTAAAAGTAACATTTATTTTGTTTCCTATGACAAAAAGAATGCATGCCCAGAGAGAAAGCTTTGAAAATGCACAAACGTGTGAAGACAAATGAACCACCAAAACAGACACCACCAAGCCCACGGCCATTAGCAATTCCTCCTTGCCAGGATGAAGCGGAGCGTTTTAGTTCGCTTCTTTTCAATCTTTTCTCTCTGAGTGAGTGCGCGCGCACACGTGCGAAATGGAGAAATGGAATCACATTGTCCGCTCTCTCGTTCCCAGCTTTCCCCACTTGGCAGTCAATGTTAGCATCTCCCACATCAGTACGCGAGCTTCAGTCCCAGGCGCCTTAACTCCCCCATCCAAGCGCGTTCTGTTCTGCCCAACTCGGTTTTCTTTTGTGTCCGTCACGTGCCTCCTTCCTGGGGACCCTGACGTCCTTTCCAGCCCGTTGAGCTGGTTTGTACCCACGGGACTTGCTTTGTACGTGGCACACACCCCCTTTGTCTGTGGATGTGCCAGAGTCTATTCAGGGCGGGCCTGTCAGCTCGGTCAAAGCTCATCCCCGAGAGAGGGGGACGGGAAGGAGGGAGAGAGGCTGCTCATCCAGGATAGGGAGCCCTTCCCAGGAGGGGGCTCCCCAAGGCAGAGTGGCCTTTGGGGAACGATTTTCAAAGTGATGATTCATGGGAACCAGTGACCTTGGGACCTCCAGGCCTCTGGTGCTCGGCCTGTGTATGTGTCACAGCCTCTGCCCAGGATGCCGGCGGGGGGACCTCCCTAGAAAGGAACAGCACCCCAGGTGGCAGGGTCTCCAGGGTTTTAAAAACCTTTAAAAGGTTAATTCCGTGAACAGCAGGGACGGAGAAGCATGGCGGGTTGTAACCCTGTTCCCATCGCCGATAGCCATAGCTCTCGCGGGGAGGACTCTGGGTGACCCGGCCGCCTGGCCCGAGGCTGGAGTCACCGCTAGAGTCCACCTCTGTGGTGGAGGCAGAAACAGCCCGGGGCCCCCCCGGGAGGTGGAACTCCCTGGACCCGAGCCTGTGGTGGTGGTTGTCTCCTTGACGTTTCCGGATGGTTTCCGAGCAGAGTCCCCTGGTTAGAACACGCACGGCCCGAGGGCCACCCCGGCCCACCTGGGCTGTGGCAGACACCGGGCAGCAGTGGCGCCTTTTCCACGGAGCCCCGAGATGGCTTTTCAGACGCAACACAGGTCTCTGGGCAGCCCTGCTGATCGGTCCGCGGTGGCCTGGGGAAGGGAAGCCCTCGCCTTGCCGGGTTAGTTCATCATCACCGGGAGGGACTCATTGAACATGTGCTGGGACGGTGGGGTGGGTGGAGGAAGGTGGGCTACGAGAGCCACCAGGTCTCTTTCTGGCCCCAGTTTTTGGTTTAAGACTAGATGTGTCTCTCTCACATTGTCACAGGCAGCCCCACTCCTGCCAGTTCCTAACCCGGCCTGGGTCTTCCCACCTCAGCAGGACAGCTGGGAGGGGGTCTGGGGCGCCCCTCCTCCCGAGAGCAGGCGAGGGCAGAGCCCTGTCGCTGTGCCGCACAGCTGGCCTGTGCCCTCGGCCATGTGTCCCCTGGCCCCCTGCTTCCCAGGGGCCTCCTGTCTTACAGCATCCAGCTGCTGCTTCAAACCTGTTCCCCAAGAAAAGACCTGTTTAGTCGTTAAATCCTGCGTGGGGGGCGGGGGAGGGGAGAAGGAAGTAGTAAGTGTCCCGATGCTGACCAACCAACGAGGGGAGAAGGAAGTAGTAAGTGTCCCGATGCTGGAGACCAACCAACACCCGGTGCGTTAGCTCACTGAGTTAGCCAATCTGCCACCAAGAGAATTATTTGTTTTTAATTTAATTGCTTTAATTTATTTTAATGAAATATTTCAAATGCATGAAAGTGCACGGATTAAAGAATACCATTAAAGCCACCACCGAGTACTCTGCAGCCTCAGAAATGGAAGGATTGCCTTTTAATGAGAAGAAGAGAGCGATGCGGCCGCTGCTCGGGGCCAGGGCTCTGGGGCCCAGCGGGAGGCAGTGCGGATTCAGTGGGAAGCCGGCTGCAGAGTTGTCCTCAGCTGTCAGTATTCCCACTGCGGCTTCCGCTGATGATCGATGATCACCTCGTTCAGTCAACACCTGGGAATACGCCCCTTCCTGTGGGTGGCTCCCGCAGCTCCTTTGCTCTGTCAACATCCCGGCGTCGACCACCCTGAAGTTTCCTTCCCACGTGTTTCCGAGGGTCCCTGCGCGAGGGATTGTGGAGCTCAGCGGCTCAGGGACCGGCCAACACGGTCTGCTTCCTCTGGCTGCTCACAGACCACGATCACGGGTAAATCTTGGGGTTTGTCACAGCAGGGCCCCGAGGGCGCGGGAGGGTGGGCCAGGCCTCCTGCTTGCACAGCTTTTCTGGGTGGATGGGCTGTGTTTCCCGAGATGCGCGGGCTGGGCTGGCCGTCAGTGGGCGAGCTCACCCAGGGACCTGCCCCCAGCGACCTGGGCTTGGCTCCCCGGCCTGGCAGGCTGGGGCCTTGGTCCCGTTTGCCAGTTCGCCAGCTGCCCTGGGAGAAGTCAGGTCACAGTAACTATGGAGCCACATCACAGTATCTTCCTTTCTGCTGGTGACCCCTCCGTCTTCAGGCCAGCCGCCCTCGGAGGGTCAGAGAGGTTGAGTAACTTGGCCAAGGCCACACAGCAAGGAGCAGCAGAGCAGGGTCTCTGGCACTGCTGCACTCTCCACGGCTGCTCTGTGCCCCTCAGGCCCGCCCTCCTCTTTGCCCTGCTGTGTCCAGGAGGCTGCCCTAGGGGATGGCACCAGCTGGGCCCTGTGCCGGCCGCCCTCCAGCTGGGCTTGGCTGCTGGGGCCCTTTCAGAAGACGGGAAAGGAGGACAGGGATCCGAGGCATTCACTCCTCTGGCGTCTTCCCAGCCAGGCACCTGGGTTGGCGTCCGTCGGCCAAAGGTTCACAGCTCCTCCCGAGAGACCCCTCTCTCCAGCACTCTCTCCTTCTGGTCCCGGTGGCTGTTCTCTCGTCTCCTGGCCTGGATCCTAGAAGCGCCTCCACTCTGCTGTTTCAGGCCCCAGGTTCCTGCACTGGCCCTTGTGCCCTCCCTACGCCACGCCCACCCCACGCCATGCCACACCTTTGTGAAGAAACCCTCCATGCATTGCATGGATTCGAATGGGCCTCCTTGCCCTCCGACCCTGGCGCCTTCCAGCTAAGCCAGGACTCATTAGACTCCAGGAGGCAGAGCCCTCTGGTCTGGGAGCTCCCTGCCCAGCCCCGTTATGGCCTCGGCCACTTCAGAGACATCGCTGGGCTCCCATGGAGGGGATGTCCCATGGAGGGGGCGGCTTTGACATTCACGGGGGAACCAGCAAGTTAATGAACCAGAGGGATTTCTGGTGCCTGGGAATCCTCTAATGGGAAGAGGAACCCATCCCAGACAGGAAGGTCCAGAAATGTATTGGAAACATGCAGCCAAGGGCACGCACTCACCCTGTGCTTCTTCAGGACGCGATCCCATGACCAGACAGGTGGAGGCTCCGTGTGCGTCCCTGGAGGGGAAGCCCAGTCACGCCGCCTCCCTACCTGAGCAGGTGAGCCCGGGGGACTGGCTCTCCTTCTGGAACCAGCCAAAGCACAAGTCCTGAAAAGGTGACCTCCCGTGGACGCCAGCCTGTGACAGCCGAGGAGGGCTTGTCCGTGGGACAGGTGAGCGCCCCCTGCTGGTGAGACAGGTGCAGCGCCCTCGGCTGGTGAGACAGGTGCAGCGCCCTCTGCTGGTGAGACAGGTGCAGCGCCCTCGGCTGGGCCTCACTGGCCCCTGAGGTCCCCTTCCTGCAGGACAGTCCCAGGGGCACGGCGCCAGAAGCCTCTTATTTTGAAGAGGAGGGAGATGAAGTCCCAAGACGTTGAGTGACATCTTGGCTTGGGTGTCTCAGGAAGCAGAGCCCGAGGCAAAGTCTTGGTCGAGGGTGGTTTCCTTGGGAGGCGATTCCAGCAAACAGGAGGGGGGAGCGGGGAGAGGGGGCGGGAATGCCACTAAGGAGCGGGTCTCGGGCCTCCTGGCTGCAGCATTCATGCACTGGCTCCCTTCTCCCAGGTTGAGGGGTCCCCACGGTGGGACCGGTGGGGGGCAGGTGGCACAGGCAATTGTCCTGTCAATCTTCCAGCCAGGAAGATGCTAAGAGGCAGTGGTGGTGAAGACGAAGGGGGTGAATCTGAGTTCCGGGGGAGGAGGGTGTCCAAGTGACAGGATTCAATGAGGCATGAAAGCAGGCGATTCAGGAATCGAGGAAGCTCCCAGGTTCGGCTACTGAGTGCCACCGACGCATGCGCTGTGGCCGCCTGAGAAACTTGAGCCTCTTCCCTGATCAGCTGGAGTCGGTTCCACCCGGTGCCCGTGCAGGTGGGTGCGGGTGTGACACGCAGACAGACGGGTGTGGGTGTGACATGCCGAGTCTGCGACCAGACAGCCCGCGTGTGCCTTCCGCGGCGATGAAGCAACACGGAGAACGGGGCTCCACGTGGGGCCTGGACAGCAGCCTCAGGTTCGGCTGGGGGAGCCCTCTCCTCGTTGGGCAATTCCGTGGTGAGGCTCCGGGCACTGTGGTTGGACCCTTAGCTCCATCCCGTTTCTCAAGACTCCACACAATTCAATGAGCTGCGTCAGTCTTTATTCATCCCTTTCCTGCCTGGGCCGGCCAGACTGGATTCGGCTATTTTGCAACTGGGAACCCTGGGCAGCATGAGTGGGTTTAAGGGGGAGGGTGAGAAACGGGCAGAGAAAGGGGCATGTGCATGCAGGTGCCAGCGGGGATCAGCCTGTGGCCTGCGGGGGGCTGCTGGCTGTGTGGGCCGGGAGCCTGGGGTGCCTGCGCGGGGACAGATCTGGGGTCACCAGCATGTAGGTGGCCTGGAGTTCATTTGGGTGCATGTGGTGGGAGAGGAGACGCTTGAATGTGTAACCCTGGGGAACGGCCTTGTTTAAGGAATGGAGAGGGGTGGGGGGGGGGGCCCTGGAGGAGACCGAGGAGGGGGAGGAGCTGGAGCAATGATGGCGTGGAGTCAAGGGGAAGAATGGAGAGGAAGAGCCGTGTCGGTCAGCAACGGCCAGGTGCAACAGGGCGAGGATGGAAAGTGACGCTTGGTGGTTGGCATTTTGGAGTCAAGGGGAAGAATGGAGAGGAAGAGCCGTGTCTGTGTCAGCAATGGCCGGGTGCAACAGGGCGAGGATGCAAAGTGACGCTTGGTGGTTGGCATTTAGAAGGTCAGGGGCGATGCAGAGAAAGCGGTTTCACTGCTGTGGTGGGGACAGAGGGAGCAGAGTGGGTGAGGAGGGAGTGAAGAGGATTGCGGTCTATCCTTCTAGAAGCGGACAGTGTGGGGAAGGAAGGAATGAGGCGCAAGATGAAGGAGAGAAGCAGGAGCCGGCCAAGGCCTGTGAGCAGAGCTGGGCAGGTCAGAGTCTGCCCCGTGCCCACAAGAGTGGCCCTTGTGCACCACGCACACATGTACACACATGTACACACATGTACACACATGCACACACTAGCACACACATGCAGACAGTCCTGGGAAACGGTGACATTGGCATAAGCTAAGCAGAGAAGTAGGGGCCAGGCCCTTTGCCCAGCACATCTCACTGGCTTTCTCCTCCCTCCAGGGATGCAAATGCGTGGTTACCACTTGTCACCCTCACCCCGTCTAAGGTATCACCCACTGTCATGCTCTGTCGTTTCCCTGACTTCATTTTTCATAGCACTCAGCTCATCCAGCCATTTATTACGAATCCATTTGCTTATCAATCACCAAAGTTACATGGACACAGGGACCCGGTTTTGTTCACGCTCTATTTCCAGGGCCAAGAATGGGGCCCCCGATAGATCAGTCATAATAAATAGTGAATAAATGAGTAAACGGACGGATACTCGCGCAGCCTCACGCTGCCAGTGCTACTGTGACACCCAGAGAGGCCCCAGTGCGATGCCCGTGACTGCCCGCCTCTGAGCGATTTGGGAGACTTAGAGCTACTGTCATTTTTATTGGTTTTGATGGTGATTTGCTGTCATTAGGGATTCAGGTCTCATCTTCGCGTCTGAGATCCTCTGAGTAACACGGGGGTGGGGAAGGAAAGGGAGACACAGGCCTCGGCAGGCAGCCTGAGTCTGACCGTATAAACCCGGGAGGAGCGGGCGGGGGCGCGAGCGCCTGGCTCGAGGCTGAGCAGCAGGAAGCCGGAGGCAGCGGAGTGGCCCGCGTTTTGCTTCACTCCAAGCGACCATGAGGGCTGCCACGCGGCTCTGGGTCGTGCTGCTCCTGGTGACGGCGTCCGACTGTGCGGTGATCACCGGGGTAAGTCGGCTGGCGTTGCCCTGGGGTTCGGGAGGGGTCAGGGTCTGGGTGGGAGCGAGCCAGGGACCACGTGGGGCGGAGTGGGGGCGTGGGAGGGGAGCAGACCCAAGGGAAGGGACCAGCTGTCCCACAGCAGCTCCCGGGCGGTTCCCAATGCCTTTCCTCGGGAGCAGAAAACATGTTAGGTGAAATGAGGACTCCTATTTGGGGCAATACCTTTATAGAAAGGATTGGCACCTTCTAATTCACCTTCCATGTCCATTTGGGTTTTCATGTTCGGTCTGGTCCACGGGTCAAGTTTAATGATGGGTCGTGCAGAGGCTGGGGGTGGGTGGGGTGGGCACTGGCTCTCGGGAGCGCGGCATCACCCTCTCGTGGGCACCGGCTGTGCTGGGTGGTGGGGCCACGCTCATTGCAGCAGGAAGTCCTAGTTGACCCCGGAGCTTTCCAGAGAGAAGCCAGCAGGGAAAAGGGGGTGGAAATTCACTTTCATTTCCACCTCCTCCAACTTCCCCCTGGACGATGAGAAGGCAGAGAAATGCCAGGCGACTCCTGGCATCGGTTGGTTTCATGCTCACAGAGTGAGAAGCCAGCAGGGAAAAGGGGGTGGAAATTCACTTTTCACCCTGGACGATGAGAAGGCAGAGAAATGCCGAGCGACTCCTGCCATCGGTTGGTTTCATGCTCACAGAGCGGGAGCGCCTGGCTTCTCCTTTTAGAGGCCAGAGCCCGAGTTTCACAGGACAAACAGGAAAGGCGGCCGCTGCTTTGGGCCCAGAGCACAGATGTGACTGTCTGGGCAGAGACGCACCCAGTGGGTGTGAGCCCTGGAGGCTGCCCTCCTACTGTGCTGCGTCCATCGGGGAGGGCGAGTCACAGGGAGCAGCGCGGTCACCCCACCCAGAGGGGTGGCGGCCGCAGGGTGACCCCAGGCCCAGGCCTCCCTGTGAGCGCTGACATCTGGTGGCAGGAGGCAGGTCTGAGACAGGGGGGGACTGTCCTCCAAGTTGACCCTTCGAAGAGCACAGGGAGGGAGGGACCTCGGGGGAGGAAACGGGTGACGGACGGACATGCACGCATGGGTAGAACAAGGAGGTGAGGGCAAGTCAGGCCTCCCGGCCTCCCTGCCTCCCGGCCTCCCTGCCTCCCGGCCTCCCTGCCTCCCGGCCTCCCTCCACCTCCCTCCGCTCTCCACTCCCAGGAAGGGCCGCGTCCTGCCACCCACTCCTCTGCACCCAGACTGCCGCTGCCCCCAGCTCAGGCCTTCTAGTCCTACCCCCAGAGTGGGACAGCGACCCTATGGGGCGGCCTCCACCTCCCTCCGCCCTCCACCTGCCGCCGCCCCCAGCTCAGGCCTCCTGGTCCTTCCCCCAGAGTGGGACAGCGACCATTTGGGGCGGGGGCACTGCTCTCAGCATCCCCCCAAGGGTTTTGGGGTGTGCTTTTTGCTTCTGGTTTCTTTGGGTGGCACTAATGAGCCCTAATGGCCCCTTTGTGCCCCCCCGCAGGCCTGTGAGCGGGACGCCCAGTGTGGGCCGGGCACCTGCTGCGCCGTCAGCCTGTGGCTCCGAGGCCTGCG